TTAAATGTTAGTGCACTAATTATACCATTTCCAAGATATTCATTTTTCGCAGTATAGTTTGCAGCCAAAAACGTTTATTGACAGTAGGCGATATCTCTTCAAAGATTTCTTCTTTTTTTGTTCCAATGTTTTGATGACACGATGGCTGGACGTGATGAAGTTTTGCATTCGATTTGAAAACGTTATACACTTGTGAAGTACAGTATCTTTCCAAGATAAACATGTAGACATTCATGTTAATACTTCCAAATATTTAACATTGTTCTCTAAATGTATATCAGATGCTTTTACGAATATTGCTTTTTTGAATATTTTCTTTCAGGCTATTTGCGAGGTGAAATCTTTGCGGGGCGAAAAACACGAGAGGCGAGAAGGATGAGCCTCTGGCAACATCAGTTGAAAATCCCACTTCCACACTTGATTAGGTTCAGTTTTCTCGCATGGGATTGGTCATAAAAAAATGTCAAACCGGTTTGGGAAATAAACATTACTGTGAGCTAATTATAGCTATAATTAGCTTACAGTACAGTAAGGTTTATTTCCCAAACTGGTTTGACATATTTTTACAAATGATCAATCACATGCGAGAAAACTGAACCTAATCAAGTGTGGAAGTGGGATTTGCAATCGATGTGACCAGAGGCTCTTCCTTCTCGCCTTCTCGTTTCTTTTGCCCCACAAAGAGCCTCTGGAACCAGGGTATTCACATGACAGAGACCATGGAAAAGTTGCGTTATGTCAACCGTGATACATCAATTTTTAGTTTGTTGCACACGTCCGTACCCAGCTGAAATTTGCAAGTTGTGGTCTTTTCTAAAAATAGAAAAAGAAAACAATTTCGCTCTGTTGGCAACAACAATAATGTTAGAGATGAACAGAGTGTTATTCGATTTAAGAAAAAAACTTTTTAATTGTACACTCTCATAGGGCGTAAAAAAATACCTGTGGTTCCGGTTCCCGACCGACACTATTTTTTTCTGCCGACCCTATTATTTTTTCAACGCGATTGACCGTGCGACCCTATTTTCTCCAGGTGGTTGCGGGCTGCTCATACAGCGTGCCAAAATGGCGTCTGTTGTCACAATAATTATTGAACCAAATTGCCTCAATTCGTCCATAGGAAATACGCACCTCTAGTTAATATTGATGTCGGGACTCTACTGCAAATCGCCCAGCAAAAAATTGGCAAAACCATGAAAAAAATATTAAAAAAAAAATTTATTTCCGACCTACCGACCCTAATTTTTTCACGATATGAAACCGGAACCACAGGTATTTTTTTACGCCTAGACTCTATAAACATCCATATTCTTTAAACTTTTATTGGTGACACTCACAGAACTTATATAATATATAGTGTTTTTATTGTAGATTTTTATACTATGATATTTTAGGACTTGGCAGGTCCTTGTAGGATAACAGCTTTTAGTAGCTGAAAAAGTTTCAACCTGTATATATATATATATATATATATATATATATATATATATATATATATATATATATATATATATATATATATATATATATATATATATATATATATATATATATATATATATATA